TCCTCTCGCTCTCCTGGGGGCTCAAGCCTGCGACCGTGGGTCTTCCTGGTGCAATTTCTCTCACGGCCTCACCCCTCGTTCTCGCTGCTCAGACAAGGGCCATGTAACCCCCTCCCCGCCCCCCGCTGCAACTCTGCCGACTCTGGAGGAGTCAGAGCTCCAGTCCATTGCCCTGTAGGCTGCAGCAGGCAGAGATGCAAGGGGGAGCAGGCTCAAGCGGGGGACAAATTGACGGGGCCTGCTGGCTTAGTGAAGGGGACCTGCACAGACCCCTGTGGGCCAGAGACACGGGTTAGGTCATAGAAACAGCTGGGTGCAAACCAGATGGTTCTTGCTTGGCGGCCGCACCACAGAGGAAAACATTAAGCTGGGGTCAAATAAGACATTTTGTTTGTCTGTTGAGCCTTTTTGATCTTTTTAAATGAAATTACAGGAAATTTTGGAAGGAAAAAGGTTTCCAACGGAAAGGCTTAAACATTTCATTAAGAAAATGTCAAAACAAAACATCTGGGTTAGGGTTGTGAATGGTTAACCAGTTAATCAGTATCACCCTACTGATGTTTACCAGTTATGGTTAACCAGTGGGGGCTGGAGCATCCCTCTACCCGTGGTAGTCCCAGCCTGACCTACCACAGACAGGCTGGAGCAACCCCCCCGCCCCCCGCCTCTGTTTAATTGGTTAACCAGTTTAACCAGTTAACTAACTAAATGGATTTTTACATCCCTGGTCTGGGTTTGTCTGCATGTTTTTTTCTTCCCACCGAAGCCATGTGGCAAAATGGACAGGAATTCACAACACGGTTCGGTGTCCCAGGAGCAGATTGTATCACCAAAAAATTGCAGGTGAACGTTTTTGCCTGGCTCTGTCTAACCGAATGGTCCCGTCTTCTCTATTGGCCGCTGGCCTGGTGTGCAATCGCTGGACAACAACCAATCCTGTAACAGGTCTAGGGTAACCGGCCGTTCGACTGTAGCCTTAACCCATCTGTGGCTGGGCCGTGCCCTTTGCCTCTTACTAGTTTATAGGGATGAGTTGGGGGCTCCAGTGGAGCATTTCTGGGCAGTGAGCAGCAGGCAGAGCCGAGGGGCCCCCAGTGCTTCTATTACTGTCCGGAAGAGGCTCTGCCCTGCCCTGAAGGCCTCCTCCGTTAAACTACCAGCCCTCAAGGGTTCGCCGCCACCCCGTGGCCGTTATCTCTGCAGGCACATGGTCTCTCTGCAGGCTTTGTCCCAGCAAGTGTTGATTTCACCATACAGGACCCTTGGAAAGAAGAGCCTTTGGGAGTTTTTGTCCTTTTCCCACCCAGAGATTCCTAGGGCAGAAAATTCTCATTTCCTGCTTGGGGCTGCTAAAAGCGGACAGGGAAGCTGGACTTAAAAAATGTTGTCCCCTCCCAAATCTTCCCTCCCTGCTAAAGCCAGAGGAAAAGAGCCCTGACGTGTTCAACCAGCCACATGGGTTCTGAGCCCTGGGGCTTTTGGGATCTGCACCCCTCCCGATAGGTAAATACGTCACCATTCCGCCATGCACCTGGGATGCTGAAGGGCTCGATGTATGTGGCTTTGCACAACCCTTGTAGGAAGCCGAGCTAAACCCTCTCTCTTGTTCCGCAGGCAGCTGAGAAGATGCCCCGGGTGCCACTGCCTGACTTTGCCCAACGTTCCCATTGACGTGTACATTGCCATGGGCGGGAACGGTAGGCCACGGACCACCTAACGGTTCCCCCACGTTAGGCCCGCGCGCTGAGGCCACTGGGGTGGTCACCTGCAACACCCTGACAGCCGGAGAACAGCAAAGGACACCGCCACACCAAACAGTGACGCACATTTTAATAAAAGGACATCTTAGAATTTTCTGTGGGCGTCGTTCCTTGGCTGCTGCTCGGCTCACGGCACTGCCCCGGGCAGTGGAGTGGGGGTGGAATGACCCCCCCCCAAGCAGGAATTTACCCCAGTTGCTATGTGATCCTGTGGGCCAACAAGCCATTCAGGCAGGGTTTGCGGGAGGAAGGTGAACCAGTAACGTAAAGGGTGATGCTTATGGGGTAAGAATTAACCGGGTCCCAGGAACAGCCCACCTACCACCGGGCTGACATAGCCCCTGCCTGTGGGGGGTGGGAGTGGTGCAGCCCAGCTTTGGCAGCTGACTCATATTTCGCTTTTGGGGCTCCCCGCCCCATTCCTTTCTGCAGGACTCCTTCCTAGACAGTCACTTCCCATTCTGGATTGTTCCTGTGTGAGTGGAGCACTTTGCATTTGGCCTTATTGAATTTCATCCTACTGGCCATTTCTCCTGTTTGTCCAGATCATTCTGAAGGGAGGTTGAAGTTGGACGTTAGGAAAAACTTCCTACCTGTCCGGGTGGTGAAACACTGGACTAAGTTGCCCAGGGGCATTGTGGAATCTCCATCCCTGGAGAGATTTAAGAGCAGGTTGGACAGACACTTATCAGAGATGATCTCTAGACCAATGGTTCCCAACCTGGGGTCCACGGACCCCCGGGGGTCTGCGAGGGTATTGCAGGGGGTCCATGGAAAAATTAAAGGTAAATAAAAATAGAAAATATTTTTTAAATAAATTGAAAAGTTACAATGTTGTTTTTAAATTAAATATTTTCCAATAATGTTATGAATTGTGGTCCAAAAATCTATGTTGTGGCGCCTTTGTGTGACGAAACGATCATGACGGTTAGAAGCGTACACACGTTAGCCATACGTTCAACATGGATCTGTGGCGAAATCCGGCTCACTGAAGAGAAAGGAGACTGATGAGCAGAGTGAGGCATCCACAAGTGGAACAGCTAATCAAACAGTAAAAGTGAGAAAATACCCCACTACTAGAATTGAGGCTAGAATTGGCTTTGATGGGGGTCTGCAAACAGTTTGGGGGGAGTGATTGGGGGTCCGCACTAGTGAAAAGGTTGGGAACCACTGATCTAGATGGTGCTTGGTCCTGCTGTGGGGACAAGGGACTAGACTTGATGACCCCTTGAGGTCCCTTCCAGTTCTATGATCCTATGAATTATGACCCTGTCCTCCAAAGTACTTGCAACCCCTCCCAGCTTGGTATCCTCTGCACACTTTATAAACATACTGTCTATGCCAATATCTACATTGTTGATGAAGATGTTAAACAGAACCAGTCCCAGAAACGATCCCTGCAGAACCCACTCATTACGCCCTTTCTTGTATTTCCTTAGTTTCTTAATGAGGTCATGTGAGACTGTATCAAATACCTTAAGTCTAGCTACACCTCCTCTACTGCTGCTAAAAGCAGACAGAAGCTGGACATAAAAAATGTTGTTCCCTCCCAAATCTTCCCTCCTTGCTAAAGCCAGAGGAAAAGAGCCCTGACGTATACTTAGCTACACCTCATCTACTGCTTTCTCCTTGTTAGCCTGTCAAAGTATCAGGTGGTTTGACATAATTTGTTCTTTACAAATCCTATAAGCGTGGCTTGTGTTTTATTTTGTAGAAACAACCAATTGTGCACAAAGAGCAGAGAAAATTCAGCTGTTTCTGCCCAGTGACTTGCAGGCTTCCTGCAGACTGGAAAAAGGATCCCCTGCGATCGGCACTATCCTCAGCCCCCGCTAGGGATGTGAATGTGTATCCATGTACAGCAGGCATGTCAAACAGGCCTCCGGAGGGCCTCATGCGGCCCAATCAATATTTTTTGCAGCCCACCACTACATTTTTATAAAAGAATAAAGTGCGTCCTGCTGGCCACTCGGAGCACGTGGCCAAGCGCAGATCACAGCCGGCTGACCGGCCGCTCTATGCTCAGCACTGCAACTACTGCTCTCGGCCGGCCAGGCCGCTCGGCGCTGGGTGCTCCAGCACGTGTTCACGACTGGCCAGCTGCTCTGCACAGGCATCAAGTGCCTGCTCACGCCACCCCAGCACCTGAGGAAGGAAAGTGTGGCATCGCCAGCGACTCTGAGACCCAGACATTAGGTTGGGGGGGCTGGGAGTGCCTGGCTTTGGGGGAGGTGGGAGGCATTAGGTAGGGGGGGCCTGGCTTTGGGGGAGCAGAGAGGGATTGAGTTAGAATGGGGGAATGGGAGTGCCTGGCTCTGGGGGAAAGGAGGGGAATATTTTGTTAATGTTTTGTTTTGTATTTATTTATTCCCAAATAAAATCATAAAATGTATATCAATAAATGTCAATTTTTTGCAGTTGCACGAATAATATATATTTATGCAAAATGTCAAACTTACAAAGTATCTGAAATTTTCACAGAAGCCTGTTCTATTTGATTAACCTCGGTCTATACTTGTTTTTATTTCCACAAAACAAGTTATGTATCATACAAAATTAAAAAGTACCTTCAATTTATATTTAAATTAAAAAATATTTTATATGGGCAAATAACAATTTGACACATCAAGTGATTGTATTATATTAAAACAAGACCTGAAAAAGTATAAAATATGCCTAAACCATGATAATAAATCATTATGACTTTCCAATAGAAGCACATTTTCTTTGGTGGCCCTGAAAGCGATCAGTTTCCGTTTGTGCGACCCTCAGTAGGCTTCGAGTTTGACATGCCTGGTGTAAAGGGTAAACTGATGAGCCTCCACACAGCTGCCTCTCTACTGATCCGCCTGCTCCCCCTTCAGCTGCTGCCTTTAATACAGAGGCAGCAGCCCATGGTGGGAGCTGGAATGCACAGGGAGCTGGCTTTCATACTGGCTCCCTGCATGTACTGGCTACCGCCAAGCTTAATATCCTCCCCCCTTCGTATCAGAGGCAACAGCATGGGGGGAGGGGCAGGAGGGAGCTGGTACATGTGGGGCGCTGTCTTTAAGCCAGCTTCCAGCATGTGCTGGCTCCTATGAAGCCACATGCCCTTCCCCCCACTGCTACCTCCCACAGAGGCTGGGGGGCAGGTGGGAGCTGGTGCCTGCCCCCTGCGCTGATGCCTCCGATACAGAGGCAGCATTGGGGGGGCAGGTGATTTTAAAGCCAGCTCCCCATGAGCACTGGCTCCCCCCCCCCCCCCCCCCCCCACCTGTCCCAGTCAACTGGGCCACTCTTGGGTGACCCCTTGTCTCCATTCTCACTTGCCTTCCCAGGCTGTGTGCCACTGGGCCAGGAAGTGGCTACCTCAGCTCTTGAAGCATTTGTAGTGGGTGACCGAACTTGCTAGATGTCGTTTTCGCCGAGATGCAGCAGGTCTCTGGATTTCCCCTGGCCCTACCTGCCTGGCACGAACTGGCCGTCTGGGAGCCCCACAATAAAACTTTGCTTTTAAGCCCTGTGTGTTCATCTAGTCAGCGGCGAGAGTCCAGTGTTCTGTGCCCTGTGACAGCTGCCCCGCGACGCTTTGCAACCAAGGAATTCTTTCCTGCCAACTGCAAAATCTCTACGGTTGTCCTTCACTCCCTTGAACAAGCTGGCTTGGAAAATGGTTGAAGCAAACGCTGGACCTGGGACGGGTCTTTGCTTTAACTCAGGGCTAGCCCGGGGTCGGGATTTTAATGTTTAATCTGCAATATCGGAGGGGTTCTGCTTCTCTTCTGCCCAAGATAGAGCCTTACAGCTGTGCAAGATGGATGCAACCAGCATTCTGATTTGGAAGCAGTTAACTGCTTTGCATAAGGGTCAGTGACACGCCGGGTGAGAGGACGGGGCGGGGGGAGGGATCAGGGACAACCCGCTGTTCTTGACCTAAGAAGCCTCCAATGAAGATGACAAACAGCAGTGACACACGTTGATGGTACCTATGTAACTACAGGTTGAACCTCTCTACTCCAGCACCCTTGGGGCCAAACCAGAGAATTTGCCCAACCACAAGAGGCCAATATTATCTAGCACAGGGGTGGGCAATCATTTTGCAGTGGGGCCACTTTATTAATTTTGGTAAATGGTCACAGGGCGGCTCCACCCTGGAGTGGGTGGGGCTTGGAGTCGAAGGGGTGGGGCTGGGCACTAGCCTCCCCCCCCCAGAGTTGTCTGGGGCTGGAGGCTTTGAAAAAACCACAGCAAAGGGCTCAGGGCCCCATCACGACTGCGTTGCCTGGCAGCTGCCCAGGGTGGCTGGGACTACAGTAATTCCTCATTTAACACTAGAGAGATGTTTCAGAGAATGATTGTGTTAAGTGAAAACGTGTTATGCAGGGTCAATTTCCCCATTGAAAAGGTGGGGGTTGCATTTCAAGCGGTGGTGTCTGTTGGGACCGGGACATAAGGTTGAGGGAGAAAGGGGACTGGGTTACAGCAGAGAGGGGAGGTGTTTGGCTCTGCGGACGGGAAGGGGAGGAGAAGGGAGGGGGACTGGGTTGGGAGCATGCCCCTGTGACTGGTCTGCCGGGACCCGCTCTGTGTCCGGCGAGGGGGGGTCACTGGGGAACGGCGTGGCGAGCGGCGAACCCTCCGCCACTTTGCAGGGAGGCAGGGGAAGTCCCAGCTACTGCCCCCACCCCACCCAGCTTTTGCACGGGACCACAGGGCTCCCGACGCCAATTGCGGTCCCGCCTCCCAGTCGCTCCCCCGCCCGGCTTCCCTCTGGCACCCAGCCGGAAATTCAGAAAATACCGGACATTGCACATGTCTGGTATTTTCTGAATTTTTCTACCAGATAGAGGGCGCAAATACCGGACTGTCTGGTAGAAAATTGGACACCTGGCAACCCTCGATGCACCAAGGCCCGTGGGAGGGCAGCGGCATGGAGGACACCCAAGGCAGAAAGGGCTCAAGGCTGTGACCTCTGCTGGGATAGTGCTGTGACTGGGAGCTATGAGCCATTTAAATGCATCCTTGCTGCCTGAGCCACCGCCTGGAAATTTGGTGGTACGGGCGGCAGGATATAAATAGAAAGCAGCCAGATGCAGTGCGCGGGCTGGATCAAAGTGTTTGCAGGCTACCTCTTGCCCAGCACTGGTCTAGCAGCATTACCACCACTTCCACTGCTGTGAAGACATGCAGAGGTAAATTAGAGCTACATCACAGCACAGAGCACAGAGCCAGGGCTGGTGGCTGTAAACAAACTTTATTTGACCATGGAAAACTTGGCCACACTCATGTTAAGTGGCCATCCGGCTAACTAAAATCATGCTGGACCATGGATGTTGCCAGACCAGAAAGTGCCGGACTGGAGAGGTTCAACGTATACCAAACCATTCTTCTCAAGGAACAATAATAGTTTCTCAGGATTCTTGGCTGAGGTTTTTGCTGCCCTTCCTCTAATTCCTTCATGCCAATCCTGCCCTTTGTCCATTGATCGGCAAGGTATTTAACTGGGAATCTCTCAGTGTGTTTGCATTGGGCTGTTTAGTTTTCACAAACTAAAGCAGGAGGTGGGTAAAAGAACAGAGACCAGCCCCCAGCCCGTCCACGTGTGTTTTAAATAATAAACTACTGAGGGTTGATCAGCTGGAGCTTTATGTGCGGGAACTGTCGACTTGTGCTCCCGTCTCCAGCAGTGTAGTGGTGAAACTTGCTGGAGCGTGTGAGGCAAACGCCAAGCGGTTAGAAGACAGGATGTGGAGCTGACCCGTTCTGTGGGGCTTGGCTGCAGGAGGTGGGGCTGGGGATATCATGCTGTCCCAGGGACCATAAACTTTTCCTTTGGCACAGCCATTCTGCCATTGATTAAGGATGTCTGGCTGGTGGAACTCTATACACTGTCATCACGGCGTGCTCCTCTCCAAGCAAAGCGAAAACCGGAGTGACTAGATGGCTTTTTCTTCCCTGTCCTGTGGCGCCGGAGGCAGAATCACCTCGATGCTGATTTCTTCTCCCAAGGGTGGGGAAAGGGAAGTGCCCCCAGCCACGCTACAAGTGGGTGGTATGTGACTTATCTTTGGCGGGGCCGTGACAAAATGAAAGCCCTTCGTTGGGAGTGGCCGAGCAGCCAGGGCTGGAGACATGGGCTGATAGGCAGGAGAAGGTGCTGGCAGCAGCTGTGCCTCATCAACAGCAGGGCCGACTTATCCATTAGGCACAGTGCCTAGGGCTCAGGATACGTTTAGGGGCCCACGAAAATGTTGTAATTTCTTTTAAAATCAGAAGAAAAAAATGAACTTTTAGGGTCAAAGAAAATGTTTAAAGTTTTTTCTCACATCAGAAAAAAATGAAACTTTTAGGGCCCACGAAAATCTATTCCATTTTGCCTAAAACAGAAAAAAAAAAAAAGTTGAAGTATTGAAAGTTATATCAAAAATAATTTTTAATATTTTTTTTTTTATGGAGGAAGAGTCCCACAAAGGCAAAAGTGCCTCGGGCCCTCGAAAGTCGTAATTCAGCCCTAATCAACAGGAGGGAAAATAAATTCAAGGCTCCCCATGGGACAGAGTGTGTGGGAAGGAGGAGGAGAGTTCCTCCCGAGCAAATGGGGACAACAGCTGGGTGGTCTCCTTTGTCGCTTCCCCCACACGCCTCTCCCTTTGAGGATGAGAGGAACACAACTGGGAAGGTGCTGCCTCCTCTAACTAGGGTGAACATTCCTAGGAAGAATTTTATTCTAGACAGGTTCTGCCCCACTGTCAGCCACGTCCTCTTCTCTTGATTAACAACGGGAGAACAAACACCAACGGACGCCATTTCCCAGGGTTTGGCTGTTCCCGGGGCTCTTTCTACAGGATGCCCTAGAGCTCCCTGAGAAATCACTCCCACTGCCCTTAGTGAATCAACAGGACCCAGTTAATCCTTTCCCAGCAGGATGGATGCTGCTAGTGTAACCGCCGCCGGGCGGGTTTGAATCGGGGGCTGACTAGAGGAGCCTCCACCCTCTGAGCTAAAAGCCAGCTGGCTCCCAGCCCATGCTGTAGAGGTCTCTTGATCTTAACTGTTGCTGTGGTCTAGGTACCACTTGCATTGCGCAGTAACCACACTAGGTGTGTGGGTTACATTAGCATACCACGCAGCTGGTTTTTTGGGGGGGGTGGGGGAATCACATTCTATGTGCTCTCCAGCATGAAATCATGCCCCTAACTAAGGATGTTAAATTACGGTTAACTGACTAGTCGATAGGCACTTTCGCATTCCTCCTGAAATGGAAAAAAGCCCCAGTGGGGGCTCTTGTGCACTTCAAAGCCATGGAGCTCGGGGTCAGAGGGGGACTCCTCAGATGACCCCAGGTTCTGGGGAAATGCCACATGAAGCCCGGAATCAGCTGGGGAGTCCCCAGCTGACAGCGGGCTGGGGCCCCCGGCTGACCCCGGGCTCCACGGCTGCCCCTTTGAAACATGGAGGCAGCCTTCAAAGGGGCAGCTGCCGCACAGCTGATTGCGGGCTCAGCTGTGCAGCACTGCCCCTTTGAAATGTCAAGTCTGCATTTTAAAGGGGCAGTGCCGCACAGCTGAGCTGAGGATCAGCTGTGCGGGGG